CAGCCTCCTGGAGAACATTGCCCCAACCCTTCGAGGTAGTGCCGCCTAGCTGGTGCCATAATTGTGTTTTCAGTAGGCCATTCCATCGTTCTATCAAGCCAGCTGCTTCAGGATGATGGGGAACATGGTAAGACCAGTGAATTCCATGAGCATAGGCCCATTGCTGCACTTCATTTGCTGTGACATGAGTCCCTTGATCTGAAGCAATGCTGTGTGGGATACCATGATGATGGATAAGGCATTCTGTAAGTCCATGGATGGTAGTTTTGGCAGAAGCATTACGTGCAGGGAAGGCGAATTCATATCCAGAATAATTATCTATTCCAGTAGGAACAAAATGCTGTCCTTTCCATGATGGAAGTGGTCCATTGTAATCAACCTGCCACCAGGTTGCTGGCTGTTGACTTCAATAACTGACGAATCCAAGATCTCCAGGCTGAATTGTGGATTGTTCACTCACAGACAGTTGTAGGCAGCACAACAGAATCCCGATTCACAGAAGAGAGTCTCTTTTCCCAGGATGTCCATAAATATACTGGAAGCAAGCCACACTCCTAGGGAAACTCCCTTTCCATGGATTGGCTGCTCAGAACATATACATCTGATCCCATCATTGGAACAACCCACATCACAATTGCTTAAACCACATAGAATTGTGGTCCAGCCAAGTTGGCACACAGCTCCAACTATCACAACATTTTTAAGATAATTTAGAGAATTGAGCACTGATGCCATTTTATGAAGCTTTGAGCTGTTTTTATTTTGTGATGGAAGTTACTAGAGTTATGAGAGAGCACTTACATTTTGGAAATGAATTCTTAAGAGATTTTTTTATGTAATAAAATGTCTAGAATCCTAAATAAAAACAACCTTGTCATTTGTGTGGACATAGATGATATTGGAGTGGCCATGAAATGATAACTATGGAAGATTGCGGAAGGGTGGATGAGACTTACAAAACATGGTTATTTCCATTTATTTATAACTGAAAATATCCATCACAAATGGAAGGATATTTTGAGTATGAATAATTTTATATGTTAAGAAGAGTGGGTATTGAAGGGCAGAAAGAATCTTTTGGTTTCATGGGTTTAAATATGAACAAAAATACCAAATTCTCCACCTTCAAATGCATACCTTACTGTAAGCTAACAAAGCAAAGGTAATACATACCCAATATTTTAATATGTTTTACTGTTATATGTGTTCTTGAGGTTATTGACACCTACTTTAGCAATGATGGCGTAGCATCTAAGGCACTTGACTACTAACCAGAAGGCTGACAGTGCAAATGCACCAGCCACTCCTCACAAGGAAGGTTGGGCAATGTACTTCCATAGTGATACTGCCTCAGAAACCCAAGGAGGGGTAACTGTGAGTTGGATCTGACCCGACTGCAGTGAGTTTTATAAGTATGGTGGAAATAGAATGTACTGGTGTTCTACTACACAAATCTTAACAGCTCTTTATCACGTTGGCAGCTTGAAATTGGTCATGATGGGAATATTTACACCAGGGCAATGACACAATACAGACCAGGACTTGCTTTATTGTATTACTGAAAGTCTAGACTTAAGAAAGTGATGCAGAATATATTGATAATGCAGGTTAAATATAAATCTGTATAGGGTCTGTGGCTGTTATATGGTGAATAACAAATTAAATTGAGGACACACTCTTCAGAAGTATCCAAGAACAATTATTCTATTCAACAAGGAATGTGTGAAGTTCTAGGAAATGTCCCAACATAAAAGTTATGTTGTTGTTGTTGTTGTGTGCCATCGAGTCAGACCCTACTCATAGTGACCCCTCCTTGGGTTTCCGAGGCAGTATCACTACGGAAGTAGATTGCTCCATCTTCCTTCCGAGGAGCTGCTGGTGGGTTTGAACCACCAGCCTTCTGGTAGTTATGTTGTTAGGTGCTGTCAAGCTGATTTTGACTCAGTGATACAATGTACAGCAGATTGAAACACTGCCTGGTCCTGCACCATCCTTATAATCTTTGCTGTGCTTGAGCCCATCCTTGCAGCCACTGTGTCAGTCAGTCTCATTGAGGGTCTTCCCCTTTTTATCTGACTCTACTTTACCCAGCATATCCTTCTCCAGGGCCTGGTCCCTTGTGACATGACCAAAGTACAAGAGACAAAGTGTGGCCATTGTCACTTTTAAGGAGCATTGCAGCTGTATTTCTTTGAAGACAGATTTGTTCATTCATCTAGCAATCCATAGTCTTTTCAGTATTCTTACCAACACCATAATTCAAATGTGTCACTTCTTCTTCAGTCTTCCTTATTTATTGTCCAGCTTTCACAAGCATGTGAGGCAATTGAAAAGACCATGGCTTGAGTCAGGTCCATCTCAGTCTTCAAAGTGACGTCTTTGTTCTTTAACACTTTAAAGAAGTCTCTTGCAGCAGATTTGCCTGGTGCAGTATGTTGTCTGATTTCTGCTTCCATGGGTGTTGATTGTGGATCAATCAATAGCACGTGCATACAGTGTTCATAGACATAGTTCAGAGCTATGGCAGCTTGATCTGAGATGCTGAGTGTAGTTACCAGGGAAGGAGCTTGGTGACGCCACTCTCACTACACTGGTTCTTCAATGGCTTGCTGCAAAGCACATGCTGAATGCTATTTCTGCCTTTCACTTTTGTTCATTAAAGCAAAAATCCTCTTCTGATTTCCTTGGGATAGTGAAAATAGGTCATGATGTAGGTCTCTTGTAAAAGCAAAGTGGTGTAAAGTGGACTTTCAAAATACCTGTGTTTTAGATCCCAGCTTGGCACTTGCCCCAAAACTTAAATACTTGCCTACCCTGTGACTCAACCAATGCACTCCGAGGCAATGATACAAGAGAAATAATAGATATGCATATGAGGCATAGATATGCTGCAATGATGGGCTCAGGTATAGCAGGGATTGTGGGCCTGGCTCAGGACCAGGCAGTGTTTCGTTCTGTTGTACATGGGGTTGCTATGAGTTGGAGCCGACTTGACGGCATGTACAACAACATACGAGAAAGTGCATGTTTACGTTCATAGCTGCTTTACTGTAGCAGACAAAGACTGGAAACAACCCAAATGTCTATGAACAGGTGAATGGATAAAGAAATTGTGGTACATCCACAGCACAGAATACTACTCAGCAATAAAACAGTGAAATACTCACATAAGCAATAGTAATGTTTGCCAAAATAATTAAGCAGCAGGAATGAAATCAAGGAAAAAAAAAAAGAGTGAAGATCTTGTGAGTCCACTCATATAAGATATGCAAAAATAAATTAGGGCCACAAGCCCTCTGTCCTTCCAAGGAGGCCTTGGGAAGCAGTACAAATTAGGATACAACTAGAGAGCTACTCTCAGTCACCATGCTGCCGCCCCCCAAGAGTTACATAATGTCGGAGCCCATCAGATTCTTCACCTCTCCATAATAACAGAGCCCAACTCTGTTTTCAATCACATGACAATGACTAAACCTCCCCAGTATTAAAGGGGCTCGGGCTTACTCAGGAAGAATCCCTCGTGGTGCAATGGTTAAGTGGGCTGCCCACCAAAAGGTTGGTGATTCGAACCCACCCAGTGGGTCTTTAGAAGAAAGACCTGGCAGTCTTGTGTAAATTACAGCCAAGAAAACCCTATGGAGAAGTTCTACTCTGTCACATGGGTCCCTGGGAGTTGAAACCAACTCAGTGGCACTCAACAATAACTACCAGGAAGGTATTAGGGCACAAAAGAGTAATATCATACAGACATTTACAGGTCGTGACTTGGAGGCTGGAAAAAAAGTTGTGAGCATCACATGAGATCAACAATGTCCATGCAAAGGGCAAGTCGCCACCAGAACCTGATGGAGTCCTCTTGATCAAAACAAGGTCAGGTCTAGGAAAATCCAATTGGAACTAAGCTGGTGTTCAAGAAATATTTTAGAACATGTGTTCACCTCTTGACATACTATGTGCAGGCCAGTGTTGGGCACCATTGCAGAGGGAGCAGTGGAGAGAAACGTGTGATACAAGGAAGGCAGAAAAGTAGGCGAGGCCAGATCCCCGTGCCGAGCACCTCCTGGACCCAGAAGACAGAGAGTTGTGACACTTGAGATGGTGTGAGGCAAGCAGCAGCACAAGATGACATAAATTCATTGTCCCCTATGGTTTTTATCTAATTTTTCAAGTTGCTGTTGTCAAATTGATCCTATATAGATAGATTTTAAAACAGAATAATGCTCAAAGCAGACCTTTCTGACTAGTTAACTATTGTTTGGTTTGAAGAAGACTTCAGGGGGTATTTTTGGTGTAAGGTTTAAAGATTATCTCAGGGGAGCAGTTTCAGGGGTTCATCCAACCTTCCTGGATCCAGAAAGTCTAGAGTCCATGAGAATTCTGTTCTGCATTTCTCCCCTCTTGAGTAATAGCCTCTTATTGATACAAATCTGCAAAATTTGATGAATGGTAGAAGATATAGAGCTTATAACCAGTAAGTAAATATGGTTAAAATAATAACTCAATTAAAATTAATTAGGAAAACAATTTACTATATTATAATAATAAAAGTTTTAGTTCTAAAAGTAGGGGTAGATTTTCACCTTTTTCCATATAGAGCTTTAAGTAACACAGAATCAAAAATAGAGATTAAAAAAGTAACAGATAAAAATATTTGTGTACATTTTCATAATCTTAAAGTAATTGCTATATATGACACAAAGGGTCATAAATATTTTTTAAATAAAAATTAAATAATAAACAAAAGTAGAAATATAGCAAAAATTAAAAGTAAGCCCAAATAAAATATTTAAATATGCAGAATGTGAAAAGGAAGGTTATGTGTAATCTCTGTATTCATCCTAAATAGCTGGATAAAAGCCAAAAAATGCTGACAGTATGTACAAAGGGCAGTTTCCCAAGACCCCTGCTCCAGGCTGAGGAGAGGTTCAGAACAAGGATGAGAACATCAAGTCACTTTGAATTATGACTCCTGGTGGCAAGGTGGCACTTCAGTCTTGAGATCATTTGAGTTCATCATTAGCCTTTTTGTCTGAAACCCACCTCTTTTTTTTTTTTTTAAATATCTGTACACACAGCATGCATTTCTATAAATGCGAGAGAGAATGACACTCTAATTGTCTCAGTGGTAAAATAAACAAATGCTAAGAGCCTTCTACTGAGGAACAGAGGTAGGGACAGATTACAGACTCCCTTCAGCACAGCCTGCCCCTCCACACAGAGATGCACTTGCAGGTGCTTGTTTCAGGGACAGCAGGTGTGTACTCTGCCTCCAGAACTTGGCACTGTCACCTTCTGCTCTCCATGTGCCCGTGGCAGGTAGCCTTCAGGGAGCAAATAAACTCAGTGAGGTTCAGTGTGTTCACTCGGGGAACTGACAGAAGGTTGCAGAGATAGCTGGAAACGGGAAGAGAGAGGGGAGGTGACAGGAGACCGTCCTTGTTATGTGCTGTCGAGTCAGACCTGATGCATAGCAACCCCTCCTTGGGTTTCCAAAGCGGTATCACTGCGGAAGTAGATTGCCCAACCTTCCTTCCAAGGAGTGGCTGGTGGGTTTGAACCGCCAGCCTTCTGGTTAGCAGTCAAGTGCCTTAAGCACTGTGCTACCTACATATATAAAAACACTTTTCTGCTCCAAACCCAGAAAACAGAAATATTTTACAGACAATAGCTATTGGCTGGATTTCCTGAGATTTTCCTTCTAAGAATCTGTAAGGTACCTGAAAAGAATTGCTACATACTCGAATGGCATTTTCTGTCAGGAGAGTGGCTGCAGGGACACATCCATGCAGGTGTGGAAAGGGGGCATCTGGATCTAGGATAAAGGACTGGGTTCCATGATCTCTTCTTGTTGTGAAGCAACTATCACAACACCTATAACTGCACCGACAGTGTCTGCCAGGGGAGAGATCATCTGTGGAATACTTGTGAGTTGTGTACCTTAAAGAGAGCTACTGGTGTTGAATAATAAAGGCTTCCAACAGGAGAGACAGAAGAAGAAGACCTTACCCAAGAATTATGAAAAATTAAAACTGATCTGTAGCAGGTGAACAGAGGAAATTACCAAAAAAAAAAAATCAACTAAAGCCACTGCCATTGATTAGATTCTGATTCATAGCAACCCTACAGCAGAGAGTAGAACTGCCTGGGTTTCCGAGACTGTAAATTTTTACAGAAGCAACCGCCTTATCTTCCATAGAGCAGATGGTAGGTTTGAACCACTGACCCTCTGGTTAGCAGCTGAATGCCTTAACCACTGAACCACTAGAGCTCTTACAGAGGACACTGGGGTCTAATAAGTAAGAGAATCTGCTGGATTCACAGCCACCTGGAAGACTTTGGCACCAAAGTATACGGTCTTTGTTTGATTTTTCTATTCCAGAGAGCACTGAGTTTTCTGAAGTTGAAGAAAGAGACACTGAGTGAGTACGTTGACAGATTATCTTGAGTGTCCATGGAAATCTGTGTTGTCATATTTTTGCAGTGTTTCAACAAAAATTTAGTGCATACCTTTTGTGGGGCAGACACTCTTCTTGTTATGTGGAATATATCAGTACACATAATCTGAAAATAATTTGCTTACATAGAATTCACACTTAGTTGATGAAAACAGAAAATAAGAAAAGCACCTAAGTGTTTGGGTTGCACAGTATATCAGAAGCTGGTGAGTCCTACAGAAAATAGAAGAGCAGGATAAGGCTAAATATGGGAAGGTAGGATGGGCTGAAATAGTAAATGAGGTGTTCATGGTAAGAACTCATAGTGAACATGCCATTTGAGAAAATATGTCTGGGTAGGACAGCTTTATTTGTTTTTTTCCAATCCTAATATATTCATTTTCTTGCCTTACTGGACAAGGTAGGATTTCCACTGTCAGAGTACAAGCATAAGACTGGACACCCTTCTTTGGTTCCCACTGTCGGATTTTAATAATGAACGATGAGTCTTGATGTATGTAGGGTAACAGGCTTTTGTGAGGCCAAATATGGGTATGCTCTGCTTGCTGCTAGCTCATTTCTGTTTGCTCAGTCACTCTGATGTAACACTTAGTGGTGTGGCCTGGGAAGCCCAGATTCTTGGCATGAAGTTTCTTTCGTTCACTCAGACCATAAATATGCTTAACTCCCACTGAGGGTGTGTGGAGACCTGAGTCACTCAGAGGCCACCCAGGGCATTGCCTCAGTAAATAAGCCCTAGAGTAAGTGGACTACATGAAGAAGAACACAGTATCAGGACTGGAAGATTCATTAATAATCTGCAATATGCAGATGACACAACCTTGCTTGCTGAAAGTGAAGATGATTTGAAGCACTTACTGATGAAGATTGAAGTCTACAGTTTGCAGTATGGATTACACCTCAACATAAAACAAAAATCCTCACAACTGGACCAATAAGCAGCTTCACAATAAATGGAAAAAAGATTGAAGTTGTCAAAGATTTCATATTACTTGGTTCCACAATCAACACCCATGGAAGCAGCAATCAAGAAATCAGACATCATGTTGCACTGGGCAAATCTGCAAAAGACCTCTTTAAAGTGCTGAAGAGCAAAGATGTCTGTTTGAAGACTAAGTAAGGTATGTCAATGTCAAATTCACGTGAAATTTTTAATGTAGACCTTTGTTTATACTTTATGCCTAATCTAAGCCATAGTATTTTCAATCGCCTCATATGCATATAAAGCTGGACAATGAATAAGGAAGACTGAAGAAGAATTGATGATTTTGGGTACTGTGGTGTTGGTGAAGAATACGTAAAATACCACTGACTGCCAAAAGAATGAACAAATCTGTCCTGGAAGACGTGCAGCCAGAATGCTCCTTGGAAGCAAGAATGGCCAGACTTTGCCCCACATACTTTGGTAATGTTGTCAGAAGGGACCATTCCCCAAAGAAGGGCATCATGCTTGGTAAAGTGGAGGGTCAATGAAAACGGGGAATGCCCTCAACAAGATAGACTGACACAGTGGCTGCAAAACGAGGACTGTGAGGCTGGCACAAGACCGGGCAGGGTTTCATTCTGTTGTACATAGGGTTGCTGTGAGTCAGGGCTGACTATAGCACCTAACACCACCACCACTTTGATCATGTTGTCAGAAGGGACCATTCCCTGGAGAAGGATATCATGCTTGGTAAAGTGGAAGGCTGAGGAAAAAAGGGGTGACCCTCAACAAGATGGCTGATTCTCTGGGTAGTTCTACTGGCTACTGAAACCCCATCAGCCAAAAAGTGCATGTCAAAGTACTGTAGGAGGAGCTACAGTTAGAAAGGGATAGGTGACAGTCATGCGTGGAGTTATGCTGACATTCTAAATAGCTGCCTCCATGAACGGGGTGAACAGTTAACACCTGCTGGCATGGCCTTGAAAGTCCAAGGTCCTGGCATGAATCTATCTTTGTTCACCTAGACAATAAAAAACACTGCCTTGAGGACTTCTGGCAAGGTAGTGGAATAGGCAGGCTAGCTACACAGACCCTCATCGACAAAGAAAAGACAAACCAATTGAGACAGATACAGATTATCCTGGAGCCCTGAGTTTTGAAAAGGAAGGATACAGAAGTGGATTAAATACCAGCTAATTATGACAACATGGATTGAGAGTGGCTTCAACGACCAGCTCAGGTATAGCAAGGATTGTGAGGCTGGCACAGGACCGGGAAGTGTTTCATTCTGTTGTGCTGGGCGTCACTATGAGTCAGAGCCGACTTGATGGCATCCACCAACAACAGTTATAACTTTTTAGCCACAGCTAACCACCCTGAGGGAGCAAGTAGTTAGACCTGTGGGCTTGAGACCATGGAGGGGACACTAAGGTCAATTGGCATGGCATACTGTACACAAACACTGTTAACATCCTAATTTGGTGAGTAGTGACTGGGGTCTTAAAAGCTTGCAAGCAGCTATCTAGATGCAACAATGGATCTCTCCTCATCCAGAGCAAAGAATGAAATAAAACAAAAATGACTGGAAACAAGCAGTCCAGGGGCTACAGAACATGCAAACCTCAGCTTATATGACCATGAGAACAGAAGAACTAGATGGTGCCCAGCTACCACCATCAACCACTTGGAAAGAGATCAGAGCATCAAATCCTGAATAGAGTGGAAGAACAAGGTGGGACAGACTCAAAATCATAAAAGAAAGACCATGTTTACTGGTCTGATAGACCCTGGTGAGACCCTCAACGCCATGGCCCCTAGTTACCCAAAATCTTCAATATAGGTCAATCTAAAGTACAAGTCAATGTCAAATTCACATGTACTTTTTAATGTAGACCTTTGTTTATACTTTTTAAAATTGTGATATTCTATATCACAGTATTGATTTTAAATCTAGTGAAAATAGAGGCAACACAAAGTATAAGGTACCCTCACAGAGTATGCCTTAAAAATACATATTTATATAATATCTGTATTTTTACTGAAAAGAAAAACTGGGAGGAGTGCCAAATACAAACAAATGTGAGGATTTCTGAATTAAGAAAGATTTAAAGGCTCATCAGTTTGGAATAAAATAAGTGCTAGTGGCTGTACAGGTTCCTGAGTAGTGCAAACGGTTTGTGCTTGGTTACTGTGCAGCACCATGGAAGAATGGCCTGGCAATCTGCTTTCATAAAGATTGCAGCCAAGAAAACACTACAGAGCCTTTCCATTTTATACCACAAGGAGTCACCGTGAATCAGAATGGATTTGATGACAACAGGTTTGAGTGCTGTATTTGCTTGTTTCTGTCCCCTAACCAGTGAGAGAAGAGAATTAACTCCTGTATGGACTCAGACTCCTCATGATTCCATCTAGAGAGAGAACACAGCAGTTTGCCTTGCCTTAGAATGCTGGGGTGACTCAGGGTGATGAGAATCTGCAAGATGGTAGAGTTCCACAGCATGTGCCATAGAAACAGGCAGTGATACAACCCCGGGGAGGGGCCTGTGAAGGATGGCAAGCAGTGCAGTTCATGAAAGGGCACAGAGGCCTGAACTTGGGGAATCGCACCACTCTGGATGTTCAAATGCTTGAGGTTCACCTTCCAGAAGATGGCTCCCTCACAAAGCCTCTCCAGGGTCATGTACTGAAGAGGAGGGACATTTCTTGCAGGTGCAAGGCCTTTCTGGTTTGTGAAATTTCTTGTGTGAATGTCAACCTTGGGGTAACACTTTCACATTTGCTGCTGTCATGAGCTCTTTCTCTGCTGTGAAGATTTCAGCACTGGATGAGGTTGGAGGAGTGGCTAAAAGATTTCCCACATTCACCATACTCATATAGCCTTGCTCCTGTGAACTCTCTGATGTTGGATAAGGGTGGAGCTTTGGCTAAAGGATTTCCCACATTGACTGCAGTCATAAGGCCTTTCTCCAGTGTGAATTCTCTTGTGCACATTAAGGTGAGAGCGACTGCTAAGGAATTTCCCACAGTCACTGCACCCGTAAGGCCTTTCCCCAGTGTGGACTCTCTGGTGTTGAATGAGGCCTGAGTTTTGATTGAAGAATTTTCCACATACTTCACATTCATAAGGTTTTGCTCCCATGTGACCCCTCTGGTGTTGAACAAGCCCAGATCTTTGGCGAAAGGATTTCCCACATTCACTGCACTTGTAGGGTCTTTCTCCAGTGTGAGACCTCCGGTGTTGAATAAGCGTGGAGCTCCGGCTGAAGGATTTCCCACATTCACCACACTCATAAGGTCTTTCTCCAGTGTGAACCCTCCGGTGTTGAATGAGGGTGGAGCTTTGGCTAAAACATTGCCCACATTCAACACATTCATAAGGCCTTGCTCCTGTGTGGCCTCTCTGGTGTTGAATGAGGCCAGAACTTCGAACAAAGGATTTCCCGCATTCCTTGCACTTATAAGGCCTCTCTCCAGTGTGAATTCTCTGGTGTTTTATGAGAACAGAGTTGTGAGCAAAGAATTTTCCACATTCACTGCATCCATAAGGCCTTATACCAGTGTGAATTCTTTGGTGTCTAATAAGGCTGGAGATTAGGCTGAAAAATTTCCCACATTCACCACACTGATATGGCCTTCCTCCAGTATGAATTCCATGCTGCTGACCAAGTCTGTACTTGCAGCTGATGGCTCGTCCATATTTGCTACCCTCACAGAGCTCCTCTCCAGTGCAGATGCATTGGTGGTCATCATGTGTGTGGTTGTGACTAAAACCATTCCCACATTCTCCCCACTTGTAATGGCTCTTTCCACAGTGAAAGGCTTCCCCATTCTCAAGGCCACTTAGTGGCTTCTCACCATTGGGATTGACCTGCTGCTGAAAAAGACCCAAGGGGACAGAGGAGTCTTTCCCAACCTCCCCATGGGTGAAGGGCTGCCATGACACTTGGAATCTACAATTCTTCACAAACAAGGCCCTGTCCACATCTTGGCTGGAGGGTTTCTCTCCACTGTGATGCTTCTGTTCCTGGAAAAGGATTGCACTGAGCCAGGAGGCTTTAACACATGTTCTACCCCAGTACGGCTTCTGCCCAGGGTTTGGTGCTTTGTGCTCATCCACACTGCCTTTCAGGGCAGGGACATACTTCTCCCAGGGGTTAGTCTTCTGTGTAGACAGATCTGCCTGTAGAATCCTGATCTGTGACACTCCTACAGAAACACTGTGCTCAGAAGACATCTCCTCCTCCTCTGTTCCATGCCAACAACCTGAAAGCAGAGAAATGCAAATAATGCAAGTGGGTATTGGTGGGAAGGGGAATCCCCAACACAGGCATGTGTCAAACACAAAGTGCAAAGAGCCCATGGCATTGTTCTGAGGATGAGGGAGTTGGAGTTACCTTCAAGAAGGGGCTGCCCTGCAGTTCTGGTCCTCTAACCAGAGAATGGAGAAGCCTCACCATAGGTGGGACAGAGGATAGGATGCAGCTCAGGGAAGAGCAGCAGGTGAATGGATCAATCAAATCCACTTTTTCCTTACACCAGCTATGAAGACATAACAAATCCACATTTTTCATGTCTTTGTTCAGTTATGGTCCCCTTCTGTTCTGACCTGAGCTGCACAGCAGCACGTTGTCTTCTGCCCCAGACTACTGGAGATGGGTCAGGCCTCACAAAAGAACACAGTCATCCAGGTGGCCAAGTAGGCCTAAGCTTTCAGATGCTAATTCCATGTTTGGGAGTCCACACATCCTGTTTTTGACCTGATGGCTACAGATTGGGGGTGGGTGGGTGGGTGTCCCATTAACCTGTCTGGATGCTAGCTGCAAGCTTATGGACCTTCCCTGGGATCCCTCACTTGTGTCCTACTGGCTACATATTTGGCGATTCCCTCTACCTTCTCAGGATACTGGCCATAAGCTAAAGGGTTCTCAGCTCTCCCTCAACCCTTACCTGCTAGCTACCACTGCTCCCTTGGATGCAATCATTCACTAGAATGACTTAGAACTCATGGAAAGAGCTATACTTACAATTACAGAAAAGAAGGATTTAAACCAAGAAACATGTAGGGTTCACAATGCAAAGCTCTCATGGCCCAAAAAGTGATGCAATACACTCCACACACATGGATGTCTTTCACCAACCAGAAAGCCCTAGGAGATTCAGTGTACAAAGCCTTTACTGGGGCCTCATGAAATACAAACTGCAGCCTCTCTCCACTGAGGTCAGCTGATGTCCAGGGTGATCGTCAGATACTACACAGTGTGCCTTTCTGGCCTAGCGAGGCCCAACCCCAAATCACTTTATCACCTTCCCGTATAATCAAAGAGTTAGCTGTGGTCTGGAGTCTTTATCAAAGACAACTGCACTCCAAGTATTTCTGCTTTGTTTTGTTTTTAGAGATTATTTCTCAGGAATGGAGAGCAAAGACCACATTTTTGGGGTACAACTAATGTAAACCCCACAGAGTCTACAACACATTCTCCTGCTATCGGTCTTCATCAGCACTTTGTTGACTGGTGAGATGTTCATGATGTGCAGATGCACAGCTGTGTCTGGTCCCAGGAAATTCCAGCTGGAATTGGGTAGCTGGTGGGTATTGAAGGACTTTTTAAGGATATGAGCAAACTTCACAGCATACCATGTATGGGTTGATACAGAGGGAACAGTGGAGGGGAACAGGTGACAGGCAGAGGCCAGAAGCTGGAAGTCACAGTTGAAATGACACAGAAGCAAAGCGTCAAGTATGGGGAAAAGTTAGAAATTAGGTGTGGCCACTGGCATTTATACCAAAGCTGGGGGCAGAAGACTGCTTTCTGGTGTGATCTCATCACAGCATGGCTGTCATACCCTTCCCAGCTGTGGCTCACCAGGGCCATGCATCTGAGACCATCTGCCATGTTCACCCTAAGAAGCAATCAAGCTCTTCCTCAGTCCCCATCCTCATGGCCAGACCTGTATGATAAAAGGAAAAGACAAGTGTATTTGTATGTTGTGCAAGAATTCTGAGGTATAAAGTAGAGCTGACAAGGGACAGGTTATAGTCACTTTGTGGCCACAGCCATCTATCCAGAGAGAGAAAGTAGTTGGACCTATGGGCTTGGGACCATAGTGGCAGGGGACATCAAGCTCAATTGGCATAACATACTACACAAAACATTGTTCCACATCCTACTTTGGTGACTAGCGACTGGAATCTTAAAAGCTTGCAAGAGCCATTTAGATGCAATGATGGGTCTCCCCTGGTCCAGAGCAAAGAAGAATGAAGAAAACCAAAGACACATGGAAACAACTGATCCAAGCAACTGGTACACCATGTGATCCTCAGCCTATGTAACTATGAGACCAGAAGAATTAGATGGTGCCCAGTTACCACTGTCAACCACTCCGAGGGGAATCACTGTAGGAGATTTTGGACAGAATGGAAGAATGTTGTGTAACAAAACTCAAAATCTTTTTTTTTTTTTTTTTAAAGGACCAGGTTTGCTAGTCTGATGAGCCTGATGGAACCACTGAGACTGTGGCCCCTAGCTGCCCTTCAGGTCTGGAATTGAACCCACTCCTGTGGCTTCCAGCCAAACAAAAGACAGGCATATGAGGTGAACATTTACATTGGGTAGATACACTACTTGGAGGTTTCTTCTCAGATTATTTGCTCAGCATATAGATTGAATAAATATGGTGAAAGGATACAACCCTGACACACTCCCTTCTTCATTTTAAACCATACAGTGTCCCCTTGTTCTATTCGAATGACAGCTTCCTGGTCTATGTGCAGGATCCTCATCAGTACAATTAAGTGCTCTGGAATTCCTATTCTTCTCAATGTTGTCCACAGTTTGTTACAATCCACATAATCAATGCCTTTACATAGTCAATACAACACAAACATCTTTCTGGTATTCTTTGCTATGAGCCAAGATCCATCTAATATCAGCAATGATATCCCTTGTTCCACATCCTCTTCTGAATCCAGCTTGCATTTCTGGGAGCTCCCTGTCAATATACTGCTGCAACAGTTTTTGAATTATCTTTGTTGTTGTTATGTGCTGTCAAGTCGGACCTGACTCATAGCGACCCCTCCTTGGGTTTCTGAGACGGTATCACTACGGAAGTAGATTGCCCCATCTTCCTTCCGAGGAGTGGTTCAAACCCACCAGCCTTCTGGTTAGCAGTCAAGTGCTTTAGGCACTACGCTACCAGAGCTCCCTGAATTATCTTTAGTAAGATTTTATTTGCATGTGATATTAGTGATATTGTTTGATAATTTCCACATTCTGTGGGATCACCTTTCTTTGGAATAGGTACAAATAGGGATCTCTTCCAGTCAGTTGGCCAGGTAGATGTCTTCCAAATCTCTTGGCATAACTGAGTGAGTGCCTCTAGTGGGGCATCTGTTTGTTGAAACATCTCAATGGGTATTCCGTCAATTCCTGGAGCCTTGTTCTTCGCCAGTTCCTTCAGTGCAGCTTCGAATTCTTCCTTTAATACCATTGGTTCTTGTACATATGCCACCTCCTGAAACGGATGAACATCAACCAGTTTTTTTTTTTTTTTTTTTACAGTGACTCTGTGTATTCCTTCCGTCTTCTTTTGATGCTTCCTGCATCATTCAATATTTTGCCCATAGAATCTTTCAGTATTGCAACTCAAGACTTAAATTTTTTCCTCAGTTCTTTAAGCTTGAGAAATGCTGAGCGTGTTCTTCCCTGTCTGTCAGTTGGTTTTCTAACTCCAGGTCTTTGCACATTTCATTATAGTAATTGGCTTTGTCTGCTTGAGCTGCTCTTTAAAATCTTCTGTTAAGCTCTTTTATCTTGTCATTTCTTCCATTTGCTTTAGCTACTCTCCACTAAAGGGCAAGCTTCAGGGTTTCTTCTGACATCCATTTTTTTTTTCTTTTCTTAAATTCTCATGTTTTTAATGATCTCTTGCTTTCTTCATAGATGGTGTTCTTTTCTTTCTTTCTTTTTTTTTTAAATTGTGATTTGGGTGAAGATTTACAGAGCAAATTAACTTTCCATACAGTTCACACACATGTTATCTCATGACATTGACTACAATTTACCCCAATGCAACAGCTCCCCTCCCACTTCCTCCTGATAGTTAACTCTTCCCTGTATACATCCCTCCATGCACTCCTGCCCCCTGAGCTGTCTCCCTGTGCATAAACAGCCCTTATTTCTCCCATGATTGTTCTCTCCAAG